GTTATTGAACTTACTGAGGTAAACCAAGACTATCCTGAAAATAATCATCACATATTCCAAATCATTGAATTGTTTTTAGAATTAGTTTTTCACCTTTTTATGAATCTTTGTTTTCTTGCATGTCTCAAGCTCTGTAGGATTCTAGTAATTCTTTCTGTTTTATGAACAGAATTATCCTGATGCGAAGGTTTGGCTTGTCAGTTCCTTGGACAGAGGATCTGCACTTCTGCGGGCAATTTGGATTGTTTCCTTTCCCAATGGATTTAGTTTCTCTGTCTCAAAAGACCTCTTCCATTGTGCCATTGAACTTGTATAAGGCTTCTCATCCTTAAAAAAGCAAATCCTAAAAAATGTTTTAACAGAGGATGTCATCCTATTACAGTCATTAAAACTTGCATCCTTGATTTAATATTTAAAGGAAAAAAATTCCAAGGAAAAATAATTTAAGTTGCAGAATACTTATCCTGAGAAAATGATCACAATATATTACTAAATGAAAAAAATTTTTTAGAAACATCCTGTAGATTATGATCCCAAAAAAGGCTGGAAGGTATATAACAGATGTTAACTTTGATTATTTATGGGCTATGGATTAGTGGCTGACTTTATTTTCTGCATCTGTATTTTCTAAATTTTATCTCATGGGCTTTCTTGCTCATGTGAGGATGGCTTGGGACACAGTGTAAGGATGCTCTGGGAACACTGTGGCAGTGGCAAGGGAAAAGTCTCATGGTGCAGCCAGCCCAGAGTGGCCGGGTGTGTGAGCGGCAGTGAGGGGACACTCAGTGCAGTGCAGTTGTGTTCACTGTATTGTTCAGAGAGACTTAGTCTTCATGTACAGATTTGGGGGACCAACCTTGCCACCAGCCCAGAGGTGACTGTGTGGATTAGGAAAAGATGCCCCTTCCTCGAGAGAAATTACTGCCATCTGCTGGAAAAAATACTGTAATAATTACACAAAGCTTAGAAGACAATGAGGCAAACCCCAGAGTTGTGCAGTGCACAGCTGCAGGCACAGTCCTGTGGAGGACCCACCCCCGCCCTCTGACCTAGGCCCTGGTGCAGATCTGGGAATCTATTCTTTTAAATATTTTTTAATCATATATTAAAACATTTTCTATTGTGAGTAATTTCTAATACAAGCAAAAGTAGAGTGAACAGTGTGATGAGTCTTCCTATTACCATCTCCACCTTCCGTAATGAGTCATCTGCGCCGTCCTCTTTCCTCTGCCCCTCCACGGTATCTTTACTGGAGAACTTTACAGCAAATCGCAGACTTCATATCCTTTCGCCCATCTATTTGTGTATACAAGGGTACTTCAAAAAGTTCATGGAAAGATTCATCTTATCTTTAATTCTCTTTTTCCACAAACTTTCTCAAGTACCCACATGTATCTAAGTATATATATAAGAAGTTTTTCAAATACCACATTATATCCAGAAATACGTACTTTCTTAAAGCTCCAGGTGATCCTGACGGTCAGCCAGATTTTAAAATCGCTGTGCACAGGAGAAGGCAACAAAGGCCCGAGGAAGGTCAATTACAAACTCGGAGGAAGGTGTTTCGTTTGTTCTGGTGAGTGTAGGTTTTGTTCTAAGGAGAGTGCAGAGGCCCCAGAGTTCTCTGAGCTGGGCAGTGACGTAATGAGCCCTGCCTTTTATGGTGGAATTTTCCCTTCCCCCCAGTCAGGAGGGGCTCCATGGACATTCCTTCCACTTTGGGACACCGACTTCCTCCTCTGACTCTTAGTAGATTCCAGAGCATTGAAACACTTTCCCCAGCCTGCCTAACCTGCCCTCCGCCCAGTCTTTCTCTGTCATTCAGGATTAGAGAAGGACACCAAGGTCATGTGTTTGGAGCTCCATACCTATGGCCAGCTGCCAAAAACAAGAAGAAGAACCAAAGCCACAAAACAAAAGATGAGAGAAGGGTATTAAAAGGGGGCACACTTGCAGTCTGATCCAGCAGACCCAAATCAAACTCAAGGAACTTCTGGTCCAAATTCACCGTCACATGGACTCCAAACTCCTCAGTCTCATAAAAAGTGAGCGTTGGTCACACACACATGGAAAGATCAGATAAAGAAAGACACAGCGCAAGCAGAAATGTAGTCCAAGGTATGGGCAGAACTTGCCAGAGGATCACATTGCCTGGGTTCTCATTGTAATCTCAGGAGATACTTTCTTTGGGGCATTTACCCTTATTTCTAGGAGTTAGAACAGGCTACAGGGTTGTAACAGTAGCTTTGTTTTCTACTTCTTTCTCTAAAGCTTCTCAATTACAACAACATTTTAATGGCATAATTTATTTCAACAATAATAGGTATGATGTCACTTTTAAGCATTTTATACAGAACCTCATAATGTAGGCTGTGGTAAAATTTGCACATGTTCATTTTTTCCCAAGTCATTTAAAAAGACATAAGAGAGTTCACAAATAATGACCTTCAATGAGGTGAAATTCTGAAGTAGATGTAAAAACACATGAGACTATCTGCTAGTGTTCACAAACAGAATAGGATTACGAATTCTATGAAACTCTTGTCTGAAATAGTTGTCAGGTATCACACACTTTAAAATCAAGCCCTTCCCAATTCCAGGGATTGGTGTGTAAACAGCCTGAGCTTCTGATCCAGTGATTCCCATGGTGTGGCAAAATTAGGTGCCTCACCTGGGCCTCACCCCAGACCTGCTTATTCAGTGATCTGCATTAATAGGCCCTCCAAGTGGTTCAGATCCAAGCTAAAGTTTGAGAACTACTCTCCTACTCTGTGGTGATCTGGAATCTGATACATATGGCTTAAAGCCACTATTTTGGACTACCAAATGGATGCGGATAAAATCATTTTCCTGCCCAACTCTTTAGATGCTGCTGTCTCTAAGCCGAAACCAGGCCTACTTCACCCTGGAAGTTGGACTTGGTCCTCTCAGTGTCCACAGCACACTCCATGTGCTCACCCTGTTGTCTCTGCTCCCTCTTCTCTTTCAGGATGCTGAGCTTCTACCTACCTGGCCAGGAGTGCAGATAAGACCTTAATAGGACTGAAAACCACCCTCTAGGGCTGGCCGGTTAGCTCAGTTGGTTAGAGCATGGTGTGGGTAATACCAAGGTCAGCGGTTCATGATCCCCATACTGGCCAGCTGCAAAAAATAAAAAGAGAGAGAGAGAAAAGAAAACCACCCTGTAAGTAAAGACCAGAGTCAGATAACACAAATCTTATCCATTTTGCGTAATAGGTTCTGGGAGGATTATATATTTGAAGGTCATTCAATTCAAATACCTGCTAAGCCTTTAGCAGCCCCACTCTGGCTCTTTCACCACCTGCTTTCCCTCTTTTAAAAACCCACCCCCAGCCAGAGGCAGGCCCTCCCCTGGGTGTTTACAGCTCTTCCAGGAGGCGGTGGTTGCGTTTTGCCCCTGCCCCGCCGCCAACACAAAGGTCCAGCCAATTAGGAGCGTCCGCGCTGCCTCTGCCATGGGTGTTGCTCAGGAGAGTGGATAATGGAGGTGAGTCTCAAAGAGAAGGGACAGGAGGGCTGAGGAAAGGGAGGAGGGGACCGATCAGATGTAGGTGGTGATGGCAGAACCTTGGCCTGCTTTATCTGTGTGACTCTGGGTCAGTTTCTTCCGAGTGATGTGGTTGGAATACATATACTCAAAATTTTTCTTTCCTAAAATTTTATTAAGGGAAAGAAGCTGGAGGAAAAACAAACGATAAAAGTGGCAGAGGGGAGGGGGTAGTCATATATAATGCAGAATTGCCTAAAGCGCTACTTAGAACCTGACAAAGAACCTCTAAGCAGCTATACCAGTAATGTTTTCTAAATTCAAAGTTATGCAGACTGGGGTCTGAGAAGCCCTGGAGGTCTGTAAGTTCTATCCATTAAGTTTTGTATTTCATTGTGAGGAGACCCAAAATATATTACTATAAGTATATTCTGCATCATTTCTATGAATACTTTTTAACTTTATGGTGATTGTATTTATAATCATGTTGACATCTAGTGGTGGGCAATTTTTTTCCCCCATTAAAAGTTGAAGAAAAAATGCTCTGTTATTTAATATTCATTACACTAGAACTTCTTCATTTTATCTAGCCCCAGTCCCTGGCTATAAATTTATGTTGAATCTCAAACCTGGATATTTAGAGGGAAAGAATCAACTAAAACTTAATTTGAAATGAAAATCAACATGAGCAGCAACATTCTCACGATGCTTTTTTGGACTTTAATTCTGAGAATGTTAGATAAAATGATATAATCTACATTTTGCATGTGAGTTTTTATATTATATATCTGCAAATGTGGTAGGGATTTCATTGTTCAAAAGTAAAAAGTAGACATTATTTATATGATTTACGATAGCACGTGATAAGCTTTTAAATGAAATAGATCTCTTTAAGATACTTATTAAGAGAAATAGACTTATAACTGTTGGTAAAATGAATTTTAAACTCCATTTATTGCTTCCTCTGAAGTGGGTTTAGCATATGCACTTAAGTAACATTTTCATAATAATAACTGTGTCCAATTTTAATTTTTAAAATTTGTATATGCAGATTCTGATACTGGCCAGCTGCAAAAAAAAAAATTGTATGTGTACATGAAGGAATAATTGATATTTTTTGCATGATATATTAATTTTGTTTCTAATATTATGAACCTTATTTTTGGAACAAATAAGCGTGAGATTGAGAGAGTGATGGGAGGAATCGTATATGAGAGCCTATTGACTGGTTCTTGGGAATGGTTGCAGCATGGATTGCAGTCATTCTAGCATGGGTTGCAATGCACTTTTAAATGGACTTGTGGAAAAAACACAGATTGTAATTAAAATAAAACACATGGGTGTTTGGGTCACACATCTTACTCATCTACGATTGGTGATGGGAAAACAAACCTGGCAGTAAAGAGTGTCATCTCCTGAGGCTGCAGGAGGCACTGAGAGGGGACGGGTATGAAGCAGCGTGTGCAGGAAGGCTGTGTTTTTGCGTCTGCAGGCGTGCACTTGTACTACGTTGGGGGAGAGGTGTATGCCGAGTGCGTGAGTGACAGCAGCATCTTTGTGCAGAGCCGGAACTGCAACTATCAGCACGGCTTCCACCCAGCCACCGTCTGCAAGATCCCCAGCGGGTGCAGTCTCAAGGTCTTCAACAACCAGCTCTTTGCTCAGCTGCTCGCCCAGTCCGTTCACCATGGCTTTGAAGTCGTTTACGAGTTAACCAAGATGTGCACTATCCGGATGAGTTTTGTTAAGGTAAGGAGTGCTTGCTTTCAGATTATGAAATGGAAAATTACAAAAAAGCACTCTTTGGTTGATGTGGTGGATTGACAGCCAATTCAGGTAGACAGCATTTTTTTTTTTTTTTTGGAATCCTATTAATAATGTTTAGGAAGAGCTCCTCTGTGAGTGAGAACTGTCTTGCTTAGCAGTTATATGAAACTTCTTAAGCATATTACTTTTGGAGGAAAAACAAGTTAAGGTAGCTGTCTGGTTGTTTTGAATGCAGAAGATAAAGTGACAATAATAATTTTATAGGACTAAATGCTACAGAGGTTAGAGCATGGAGTTATAACTCCAAGGTCAAGGGTTTGGATCCCCCATACCGGCCAGCTGCCAATAACTAAATAACCAACTAACTAAATAAATAAATAAAGCAGAGATTTTCCCATCCCTCAAATTGCCAAGCACTATTATGACTCAGTAAATGTTGGTGAATTTACCTGAATTAAATAAGACACTCTTTTACTCTTAGAAAGCATATAGGCAAATGGAGGAGATAATATTTATAGATAAGCTAAAAAATGAACAGAACTGGCTCTACTATGAGGCAGTATAAATTAAGTGCTATTACAAACATAAAGCGGGATAGAAACATGAAAGCGGCTGTGAATAATTCTCAGAAAGTAGTATATGTTCTGTTAATGAATATTTGTTGAATTTCTCAAATTAAATGTTATTAAGGTTGCTCTGAACGTTGGAGAACCAAGGAAATTACTTAGAGGAAGGGGAAAATGACTGGGCTTGTACGTTGAAGCTGAAGGCGTCGTTTTTGTCATCTGCTGTTTCATCTGTTGCAAAGCACTTGCAAATCATTCTAATATTTCAGAATCTGAGCTTGTTTACCAAACTGGGTACATGTGACACAGTTTTCACATTGTCACAAAGCCATCCAAGGAATCAGTATGGTTTGTTCCAGGTTTTTTTCACAGTAAATTTTATTAACCCTTTAAAGTTATTTTAAAAATACTGCCCTATTTTTCTGTACTCAGATAATGTTTTTTATTATATTTATAACTTAAATAATTATTTTACAAATAAGAGCCAATAAAAGTTTCCAATTTTAAAAAATAGCTTCTTGAAACCATTTCTCTTTCATGATGACAAAGTAATTTTATTCAAATTCACTATTTTAAAAGCATTTTACATGTAAAGCAACAAACATATACCTGAAAATCTTTTCAAATGTTCTGTTGTTTTTGAGCCAGCAGAGGGCATTAAATTGCCGTTAATGAAAAATCGTGTGAATTGTACAGTTTATTTTTTTAGGTCTGTGCTTTTAAAAGTAGGATGAAATATGAATATCTCATAGGTAATTACTTCACTGTAATATAAACTTGCATAGAAATCTGATTTTCCTAAGATCAGATAGATATATTTCTCAGATATTCATCATTTAAATTTAAAAAGCTACACAATTCACAGAAAACAAACTGCTACTAATAGTACAGGACTTTTTTAAAAAAATAAATACTTAGCAAATATGTTTAAAACATTGCAGATGACTAAACACTGGTGGCTACTGTGGGGGGGGGGTGATAGACTAGATCATCTTTAATGTCTCTGCTGTGATTTTTACTGATTCTAGGACTCATTTATTCAGTCAGTCAACAAACATTTATTGAGCACCTGCCATGTGCCAGGCCAGGCACTGTTCTAGGTGCTGGGATTGGTACTAGTCAGTTTTCTGTTGCTTACAACAGAATGCCCGAAACGGGGTGATTTATAAAGGAATGAAATGTATTTCTTACAGTTTTGGAAGCTGGGAAGTCCAAGGCCCAGGGAACAAATCTGGGGAGGCCCTTCTTCTTGGTATGGGCTCTGTACAAAGTCCTGTGACATGGCAGGGTGTCACCTGGCAAGAATGGCGAGAGCTATAGAGAGCTAACCTTCTCACTTGCTGTACTTGTAAAACTATCAGAACCGTGCCCATGACAGTCCATTAAACCATCAACCCATTACTCCATGAATGGATCAAGCCATTCACAAGGGCACAGTTCACATGTCTTAAGAGTTACTAAGAGGACTCTGAAGAAAAGAGTCCAGGAAACAGACCAGCTGGCCTCAAGACAAGGAGAAGAATCTGGAAGCCACAATGAGAAGCAAGGAGAAAATTCCTCACCTCAATACACTCAGTGGTCAGGAAGTACATGAGAAAAACAGTGAACTGTTTGAGAGGGCTGCAAGGGAATCTGTGTCCTCAGGAGAGAGCCGGGTCTCATGCATCGAGTACTAAGTTATATTCTTTCAAGTCACCTTGAATGCTGGAATTGTGAATACTGAGCCATTAATCACCTCTTAAAGGCTCCACCTTCCACCACCATATTGGGGGTGAGCTTTCGACATGAGCTTGTGGGGGGGACATTTAAACCACAGCATTCTGTCCCTGGCCCCCCCAAAACTTATGTCCTTCTCACATACAAATACATTCATTTCATCCTCATATCCCCAAAGTCTCAACTCATTCCAGCACCAACTCAAAAAGGTCCAAAGTTTCATCTGTGAAATTAAAACAAGTTGTCTACTTCCAAGATGCAATGGTGTGACAAACATAGGGTACATATTCCCATTCAAAAAGGGAGAAATAGGCCAAAAGAAAGGGATAACAGGTCCTAAGCATGTCCAAAACCCAGCAGGGCAGGCATCAAATCTTGAAGCTGGAGAGTAATCCACCTTGACTCCATGTCCAGCATCTTCTACACAGTGTTGTGGGGTTGGGCTCCCAAGTCCTTGTGCAGTGCTGCTCCTGCAGCTTTCCTGGACTCAGCCCATGCTTCAGCTTCCTCAGGCTGGCATTGGACACTGGTAGCTCAACAATTCTGGGGTCTCAGTGTTGGTCCCATTTGCATGGCTCCAGTTGGCATGGTCTTGGTGGGGTTTCTCTGCTGCAGCTTCAACTCCATATTTCTGCTTAGTATTGCTTTAGTGAAGGCCGTCTGTGGTGACTCTGCCTTTTGTCACAGATCTCTTCCTGGGCCCTCAGGCTTTTCCATACAGCCTTTGAAATGAGGGTGGAGGCTACTGTGCCTCTACAGCTCTTGCATTCTGCGAACCTTACAGTGTGGATGCCTCCAAGGCTTCTGGCTTGTATCTTCTGAAGTGGTGGGTCCAGCAGCACCTGTGGCCAATTTAGCCATGGCTGGGGCAACTTAGAAGTGCTGTGCTTGAATGCAGGGAGCAGCTTCCTGAGGCGGCCCGGGCAGTGAGCCCAAGGGGAGCACTCTGGGCCTGTTCCCAGAAACCATTCTGTCTTCCTAGGCCTCTGGACCTGTGATAGGAAGAGCAAGGTTGAACATCTCTGAAATGCCCTGAAGGTCATTCTTCCATTCTCCTGATGACCCCTTTTCTCTGTCCTGATCTCCTTAGCAAATGAACACACTTTTCCTCTTCTGAACATACTTCTCCACTCTTTACGTGGCCAGTCTGAGAGTTTTCCGATTTTTTACCCTCCACTTCCCTTTTAATTATAAATTCCAGCTTTACATCATGCTTTTGCTGCCATAACTCAGCATAGGCTAAGTAACCATGCAACTGCCCGAATGCTTTGCCGCTTAGAAATTTCTTCTGTCAAATACCCTGGTTCATCATGTTTAAGTTCCACATTCCATAAAGCACTTGAACACAATCTAGCCACATTCTCTGCCATTGCATAACAAGGGTGACTTTTGCTCCAGTTTCCAATAATCTCTTCCCATTTCCATCTTCCTCAGAATGGTCTTCACAGTCCGTATTTCTGTCAGCATTCTGGTCACCATTATTTAACCAATTTCTAAGAAGTTCCAGACTTTCCCTGGTCTTCTTGTCTTCTAAGGCCTCACCAGAATCTAGGCTTTCTCTAGCCTGCTCCTCCAAATTCTTCCAGCCTCTGCCCATTATCCAGTTCCAAAGCCGCTTCCACATTTTCAGGTATTCATTATTAGCAACACCCGACTTCTGGGTACCAATTTTCTCTCAGGGTTCTGTTTAGTCAGGGTTCTCCAGAGACACAGAGCCAATAGTGTATGTGTATAAATACATGAGAGGAGATTTCTTAGAGGAATTGGCTCATGCAATTGTGAAGGATGAGGAGTCTCACAATAGGCCGTCTGCAAACTGGATGCCAGTAGCATGCATGGCTCAGTCCAAGTCTGGAAGCCTCAGAACCAGGGAAGCTGAAGTTGTGATTCTCAGCCTGATGCCAAAGGTCGGAGAGCCAGAGGTGCTGCTGGTGTTTTGGTGAACCAAAGGCTGAAGAGTCTCGAGTTTGGATGTCCATGGACAAGAGAGAAGAGTCCATCCCAGCTCCAGTAGAATAGAGTGAGATTTGCCTTTTCCTCCATTTTTGTATTCTCTGGGCCCCACGGATCAGATGGTGCCTGCCCATATCGAGGGTGGGTCTTTCCCACCCTGTTCAGGCTTATGTGCTAATCTCTTCTGGAAACACCCTCATAGACACACCCCAAAATAATTCTTTACCAGGTTTCTATAATTCTTTACCAGGTATTCCTTAATCTAATCAGATTGACACCTAAAATTAACCATCACAGCTCCTTCAGTGATTACTCACAGATCTGCCCTCCTGGAACCAGTATCCTAGCAGGGACAGACCGTAAACAGCAGTCATAACTAAGAAGGTGCCGGGAAAGAGGAACTGCAGAGCAGGAAAAGGAACTGGAGTGCTGTGGGGGTGGGCTGCAACCCAGAGTAGGCCTCATTGCAAAGGCGACAGGCAGCAGGGACTTGGATGGAGTTAGCCATGGGGCTGTCTGTGGGGAGAGCAGCAGAGGCAGAGGGAAGAGCGAGCACACACCCCACGGCAAGAGCATGCCTGGAAATTTGGAGGAACAAGGCGGCCATTGAGACTGGTGCCTACTCGGTGCGGGGAGGTGAGGTGAGAGCAGCAGTGGGGAGGCAGGGCCACGCTTCCTAAGCCACTGCAGGGAGTGTCGCTTTCACTCTTAAAGAGGTGGCGAGCCTTCACAGGGATGTGAGTGAGGGTTTTCATGATCTGACTTTTGTTTTTATTTTTTGCTCTTATTTTTTCAGCAGCTGACCAGTACAGAGATCCAAACTCTTGAGCTTGGTGTTAAAACACTGTGCTCTAACCAACTGAGCTCACCGGCCAGCCCCCTCCAACTTATGTTTTTAAAGGATCACTGTGACTGCTGCATGGAGAATAGACATTACGCAGGCAAGGCTGGAAGTAGGGAGACCAGTTAGGCAGCTATTGCAGTATTCAGGTGGAATGACAGTTGCTCCCACCAGGAGAGTTTCCAAAAAGTTATCAGAAGGGGAAGGATTCGGAATTGCGAAGGCAGATTAGGTGGAGGGTGTGAAAAAAAGAGAAGAGTTTAAAAGATTAATTTAATTTTCTTCACCCAAGATGGAGAAAATGCAGGCAAATACGGTTTGGAGATAAGATTAAGAGCTCAGTGTTAGGGTAGTAACTTTGAGGTGTCTGTCACACGTTCACGTGGAGACGCTGAGCAGGCTGTCAAAGTAGGGAGAGGTCTGGGCTGTGAAGTAAATCGGGAATTGTAGCACGTGGGTGGTATTCAACTCCATGAGTCTGATGAGCTCACCAAGGGTTTGAGTTTAAACAGAGAAGACAGGGGGTTCTAGGACTGAGCCCTGGGATATTTCAATGTTAAAGGACTGGGGAGAAGAGAAAAAACCAGCAGAGAAAACTGAGAAAGACCAACCAGTGAAGCAGGAGCAGGACTGAGAAAGTACATGTGGTGCTTTGGAAGCCAGCAGAAGACAGTGCACTGAGGAGGGGACAGAGTGATGCGCTAGACCAGACACCGCCCACGTAACACGAAGACTGGGCACTGATCATTAATTTGAGTAACATAAAGGTCTTTTTTGATCTTGGCAAGAACAGTTTTGTCGAAGGCTGGAGTGAAATGCTGATCAGAATGGACTTAAGAGAGATAGGAGGAGAGGAACTGAGGCAGCCAGGGCGGACGCCTCTTTTCAGGGTTTCTGCCAGACAGGGCTGAAAGACCAAGGGCAGGAACTGATGGCTGGTAGGCCAAGAGAAGTATTTTGAAGATGGGAGCTGTTTCAGCATGTTCATGTGCTGATGGGAATGATCTAGTAGAAGCAAAAGATTGTAGGAGGGAAGGTGGAGGTTGGCTGCAGTGATGTCCCAGGGAAAGCGAATGAGTCTAATGCATAAATGGATGGACGGGCTCATTTGGAAACAGATGATTAACCTGAGGTGAGAGGTGCAAAGGCTCAGTGTGTGGGTGCAGGTGCTGTGGAAACTCTCATTTCTGGTTGCTTCATTTTTCTCATTAAAATAGAAGCTCATGGGTGGCACGTGTGGATGGGGGAGTAGGTGTTAGAGGCTTAGCGGGGAGGAACGGGAGTGGAGCAGTCAGCTGGGGCGGGGGGTGGGAGAGCACAGGCACTGGAGGAGCAGGGTGTGACTGCCAGCTGTCATCAAACCAACCTAGAGGTTCATTCATGGTCACCAGTGTGAGGTGTGACCAGGCAGTGTGGTTGTGTTGAAATCCAATTTTCAAAAACTGGAGAATTACTGCTCCCAATTAAAAAAACTACTTTGCTAGGCTGTGATCTTCCCCCATTTTAAAACTAATTTTTCATTGATGTATAACATATAAAGGAAAATATGCAAATTTATTTATTTATTTTTATTTATTTATTTTTTACTGCCTCTCCTATGAATGGTGATAAATGGGAAATTGTCACATGAGCCAGAGAGAGAGGAGAAACAAGTTTTCATAATCAACCCCGAAAAATAAGAAGCACCCTCCAGTTCTCTTTACAACTTTCAGGTCCAGTCACTGGTGTGTAGTGAGTAACCATTTGGGGCAAAACACTGTCTTCAGCATGAAGGGGGTGAACATAAGGTGGAGTTTGCTTCCCTTGTGGGAGGGAAAATGATTTGCCATGTGACTAGAGCCCCAGACTGTCTCTGGGTCCACGTATTTCATTGTGGACCCAGAGGGAGTGACCGATGGGGGCTCATCTGAGGGTGTCGCTTGGTGCAGGGCAGGAGCTGCTCCGGTGGGTGCTGCGTGCCCTCTGCCCCAGTCCCAGGAGCTGCCTGGTGGCTCTGGAGGCTGACCGTAAAGTCCGACTTGGTCACTGTCGGCTCCCTTCTTGCTTTTCAGGGTTGGGGAGCTGAGTACCATCGCCAGGATGTTACGAGCACCCCCTGCTGGATCGAGATCCATCTTCACGGACCACTGCAGTGGCTGGACAAAGTTCTGACTCAGATGGGCTCTCCACATAACCCAATTTCTTCAGTGTCTTAACAGTCACATCTTCAGCTCCACTTCTATGGAGTAGATGCTATTGCAGGCAGTGGCTTATATCATTTCAGATTTGCAACTAACTGAAATTTCTAAGTACATGTGTAAATACATATAATGTACCCTATTCATATTTTTATCACCATTTGTTTTGTGCTTCCTAGTTAACCTGGTGCCAGTACAGTGAGATTAGAAAAGCAGGGTTTTCGTGCCTATGCTGTAATGAGAAGCGGCAGCATTTGTGGAAGGAAACAAATGAACAACAGTGTCAATAGTATTTGAAGGTGCTGGCAGAATAAAAGGCAGCTGCAACCAGCCATGTCATTATAAAGCACGTTGTGTGGCTTAACAGAAACATTGCAGCTGTTTATAGAGCAAAAATCGGATGTCCGTAGCACTAGGGCAAATAACACGTTCAGACAAAACAAAGCAATCAAACCGATGTAGTTTCAATGATCTCACTTTTAGTGCTGTGGGCGAGAAAAAAAAATCAAGCCTTGAACATGAATTATTTGAGATAAACCACAAAACTTTATTTTATTTCTGAAGTTAAAATACCTGTAGCTGGACTACTGTGCTGATATTAACGGTACATTTTAAACAAATTTAAACTATGATTGGAAAAGAAACTGTGAAGTCACATTGCCTCAATCTACCACTGAAAAAAAAATGAGTCTAATATGAGAAAATAAATATGAAAACATTAAATGAGCTGAATTCCCAAATTACAAGATAAGATCAGAACTTAGTCCAAGAACCACCCAGGGAGACTCCTGCTTTCCACATAGACCAGAGCCCCAGATTGTCTCTAGGAATATCTGGAAATAGATTCCCAAGAAAAGTGATAATAATTTTATATTCCCCTATAATTACTGGGGAACAGCAGTACTGAATAATAGAACATCTTTAAAAAATATATGATATCATAAACCTATTTTTATTTTCCTGTGGGTGATAGAGGAAAATCCCCCAAATTTCTAGGTACTTTCATATATATACAAACACATGCGCGCGCGCGCACACACACATATATATATATGCGCTAACATATATATGTATATAATTGCCACCTAATAAACTCTGCATTGCTTGTAAAAATATTTCACACCCTCTTAAAAATGTATAATTTAAGATGGCAATTATGCTTAGATGGCAGTTCAATAATCCAAGTTTCTTCATTTATATACATCCTGCGTCAACTCGTTCTAGCATTAGTGCGCACGGTAGGTGTTTCTCATTAAATTGTATTCAAGGTAGAAATGATCATGTGAAAAAGATATATGAGTGAGCTACTACTGTCACCTCTTGTAATGACTAGTGTTATCTAATAGAAACTTTCATATATATATATAATAAAAAATAATTATTGCATTTTACATTAAAACTAGGTGGCCCATTTAGTGTTTAGAAAACCCTCTAGTTTATTGGATCACCACCTATGTATTGTGTACCTATCTGTGCCAGGTACAATGGTAGGTATTGTGGAAACAAATGTAAACTAAAGACAGCCCCAGCTCTCATGGGACTGAGAGTCTAACAGTAAATCTGTTTGTATAGACATCTTCATGTGTCAGAACTTTAAAAACAAAACGGGAGATCTTTCTTTTGCTTGAAAAAACATGATTTCTTAATTATCTCTAAAATTTTTTCTTTTCCTTCTCCTTTGAGCAATCAGGTAATGGATTCTTTGGATAAATGCTACTTTTCTTCCATGACTCAAAGTTTTTTTTTTGTTTTTTTTTTTCTCTGCTTTCTTCCCCATTTTTCCAGTAATTCCCTATCAACCTCTTTTCTTGGAAAGTCGTTAATATGGTGAGTGTCATATAAGTGCCATTCCATAGGAGAGCTTCAAGAACACACAGCTTTTGCTCCAGAGATCAAACATAGCTTTATTGATCTCTCCACAAGCTGTCAAACGCATCCTCTAGTAATCTTACACCTTTACAGAACTAATCAGAACTGGTGGCTTATAAATGACGTTAAAAACAAAAACCAAAAAACTTGGATTTCCATGAAGCTTTGGGAAACCAGGACAAACTACTGTGGTGAATCTGAATTATTTCTGTGAAACATAAATTACTAAATTGGCACATGTGATTATCACCAGTCATCTCACCAAAAGCTTTTATTAGGATACCTGTGAAATTCAGAGAATTTAGAATTGATGAGAAGTTAACCTTTTAGTCATTGTAACAGTCATATTTTAATCAGATTTTTTCTTTTGATGCCAAGAGTTCTCAAAAATTGTAATGCGGTATTTGGTTTCAGACTTCTAAATGTGTTCATTTAGCATTCATTCCTTGAGGAGGTAGACAATTTAAAAAAAAAAGAAAGAAAGAATACCGTTCTTTTACAGGATTACTAGCAAAGCGGACATGCTAAGCATTTATCCATCAGGACTGCAAAACACGTTTAAGGTTGCCATGGGCAAAGATTGTGCAATAAAAAATAGTAACATTTTGGCCTGTTCACAAGACCCAGAATGAACATTTATCATGTTGTTCGAGCCAGTTACTGTTTTTTTTTTCTGTTAAAAAATTGAGATGTGAACATTTTGTTTTAGCTAGATGATATTTTAATAGCTGCCAGTGCTTTGGAACTATAAAGATGTCACTTTTTAACACATATACTTTATGTTTTGTTATTATTTTTTTACACGCGGTATAAATCAGAAAAAGTTGGCTAACCACCTAGCATTTAGAATGCTCTTTTTCATTGTCTTCTAAGGCTATGGATACCCCATAACAGCATTAAAACAACAAAAGCATTTTATAAAGCTCCTGCTTAACTATGAGTGTATCTTAATATTTGGTATACATATTCAACAAATAAAGCAAAATATAACATGCATTCCAAATTTTGTCTTTTCCTATTATAATTTAACAACCAAATTGTATAAGATTAAGTGATCCTAGCATATGTTAAAGATAAGTTCAAATTAATGCAAAACAAACCAACAACAAAAAAGAAACTATTTCTATTTGAGTGAAGTAATACTTTTGATTATATTGACTTGGCTACAGTTATCCTTCAAATGAACAATTATACTGTTATCTGATGGTTTATAATAAAGAATACTCTACCTATATGTCTGTTGGCTCATTTTTCCTGTAAACCTCATGGAAGGATTCCCTGCATATGGGTCTGCAGCTCAGTAAGATAAACCGTCGTTTTCTGAAATGAGATTTTTAAAAATCTCACATGCTATAGAGAAGTAGTGGTTTAGATTTAAACATCTTGGAATAACTGGCATTAAGTATAGAATCTTGAAGATACTTTGCAGTAACTTTAGAAAGGATACACATAGAAGCTTTTTTCTGGATAGTAGCAAATATTAAGTGATAAAGTGTATAGGAAAGAATAAACACTTTTATTATTGTAAATATCTATACATTGCTATGTATTGCCTATAAGAAAGATGCTAAAAGAAGGCTAGTGAAGAAAAACTAAGATGAAATCCAGGAGGAATATGAACATATCTAAAAATGTAAATTCTCAATTCTCTTTATTTAAATTTCCTTCTAGTCTTACAATGGAGGGGGGAAAATCTGTAAATATTTCTGGAAAACTTAGCCTTCTTATTGACTTGATTGGGGTTTTCAATTTTCTTTTAGGCAATGGTGCCCTTTATTCAAAAGTAATATTTTGTAGAACTCCAAAATATATATAGATGAAAGACAAGCTATTCTGGTGCAGATACAGATGGTATCATGAAACCTCCAGTTTAAACTTAAGTTTCTGGAGAGCAGTGACTGTGTCTTGTTTGTCTCTGCATCTCCCAGGATTCCTGACCCTGTTCTTGCATCTAATACTTGGTTATTTTTTTTTTTTTTTTTTTTTGGCAGGTGGCTAGTATGGGTATCTGAACCCTTGACCTTGGTGTTATCAGAACCACAGTCTAACCAAGTGAGCTAACTGGCCAGCCCTGCATCCCTGAATCTAATATTTGCTATCGGCATTTGAAACACTAACTAGTACACATTTTAAAATATACTGTGGTATAGACATAAAATATCATCTTTAAACATTAGCCCATCTTAGAGAAGAAATATTTTCATTACCCTAGAGAATTCCATATATCCGTTTATCCGATGGTTCTTAAGCATCAGTAGGCTCTATGGATACCATGACAAAGTTTCTGCCCTTCAGGAGCTTACCAGTTTGTGGAGGAAGATGAACAAGTAAACCAATAAAACTCAGTGCTATCAGCTGGGACAGACTTTTGGGGACCACAGTGACATTTCCTTCAGGCCCTGGGTGGGTACCAGGGAAGGCTTCTGGGCCGATCTGATTTGCCTGCCATCCCGTCAATTCCCTTAGCAACTCATCCCAGAAATTCCTAAGCCAGGTTAAGTGCCTGTTCTCTGTGCTCCCACACTTTGTGCCCACCAGTAGTGAGTTATCAATTCTTGCACATTGATTACTTGTCCATCTCTCTACTAGGCTGGGAGATCCACAAGGACAGGTATGGTATCTATTCATTTTCAGCATTTTCCAGCTATTTTTTGTTTAGAAAGCCACTTGGGGTTCACATTGTAATAGCAGCAATGGTGTTTGTTTCCAGCTCTTTTTAAAAAATCAATACGTATTTAGTAACATCCCTTCAAGATATTCGTAAATATAATGCAATCCTCCAATTGCATGTTAAGTGACATGTGTAGCTGGTGGGGATCAGAAAAGCATGCTTATGACTCAGTTTGGAAATAGCTGCATAGCAGTAGCAAGGAATGGTAGCTTTGCCAGTTTGTTAAAATTGTTATTCTAAGCATTTATTTTCAAAATTTGAATTTGAGTAAGACAAGAAGCATAAAGAATTTCGATGTTGCATCACCAAGTTAACAAGAAACTAATTCTGAAAGTTTACCTCTGTATGACCAATCTTTGCTCCATTGTTTGCATGCACCTGATAAGAATGTTGGGTATAGCCTCAGAGTTACTCTAGTAATCTACTGCATACTGATGTTAAATGGAGAAAATATAATGAAAATTATATTCAGTTTGGCTTAGGCAAAAACTATTCACACCTGCAATTTGTTATTTGGAGATAATACTTGCAAGTGGCAAGCTTCTCTAATCCCATCATTTAGAAAGGAAATAAACTAAAAATCATCAAAATAACCTACTGATGTTTAAGCACAATTTCAAAGACTCCAAGCATCATGTTGTGTTTTGTCTTTTAATGCCATAACGGCTTAATCTATACATTTTTTATACATTAAGTCTTCAAGGTAAACATAATACCATTTTACAATTCATTTGTTAACAAATTTGGTTTTCCTAATACAATTATTTTAAAGTGAATTAAATATAGCATATCACTAAATGAATGTGGAAAGTGAAATCTGTCCCAGTATAAACATTTAAAGGTAAATTAAAATGATTATAATACAATGTTTAAAATACGTTGATGTACAGTAAAATATTTTTCACTTAAAATTGTTTTTCATACGGCATGAAAACAATGTTAAATTGATTTTATTTTTTCTAAGG